CTAAAAAATAGCATTTAATGTTTCAATGCCCCTTCACGTCAGCAGTAAAAAAAAGAGATTGTATTTAAAAAAAACTCAAAATTGCCCCTCCACTTATCTTCCCCAGACACCTTTGGTTCCCAAAAACATGAAAAGTCATGTCACATTAATGCGATCTAACAGAAAAGATGGAGGGAAATTTCCCGCCCTTTTTAAAACTCTATCATGAGAAATAACTCATGTTAGTTCTAACTTATTTCATGCTAGTTCTAACTTATTTTATATTAGTTCTAATTCATGTTAAAGCTAACTTTAAGTGGAACTAACATTAATAGTTTGGCAACTTGGTCTAGTGGTAAACTTGGAAATTTGGAGAGAAGGTTAAGAGTTCAAACCACTGCAACTACAATATATATTTAAAAGTTCAAAAACTAACTAGAAGTAGAACTAACATGAAATCAGCTAGCACTAACACGAGAACCACTAGAACTAACATGGGCTCAACTAGAACCAACATACCACTAGAAATAACAATAACTGGAAGTAGAATTAACATGACATCAGCTAGAACTAACACGAGAACGGCTAGAACTAACATGGGCTCAACTAGAACTAACATACCACTAGAACTAACACTTATATTAGAAATAACACTAGCTAAAAGTTAGAACTAACATGACATCAACTAGAGCTAACACGAGAGCCACTAGAACTAACATGGGCTCAACTAGAACTAACATACCATTAGATATAACGCTTATATTAGAAATAACACTAGCTGAAAATAGAACTAACATGAAATTAGCTAGAACTAACACGAGAATCACTAGAACTAACATGAGCTCAACTAGAACTAACATACCACTAGAACTAACGCTTATATTAGAAATAACACTAGCTGGAAGTAGAACTAACATGAAATCAGCTAGAACTAACACGAGAACCACTAGAACTAATAGAGGCTCAACTAGAACTAACATATCACAGGAACTAATGCTTATATTAGAAATAACACTAGCTACAATTTAGAACTAACATGGTATCAGTTAGAACTAACACGAGAGCCACTAGAACTAACAGGGGCTCAATTAGAACTAACAGACCACTAGAACTAATGCTTATATTAGAAATAACACTAGCTAGAAGTTAGAACTAATATGACATCACCTAGAACTAACACGAGAACCACTAGAACTAACAGGGGCTCAACTAGAACTAACAGACCACTAGAACTAATGCTTATATTAGAAATAACACTAGCTGAAAGTTAGAACTAACATGACATCAGCTAGAACTAACATGGACTCATTAGAACTAACATACCACTAGAACTAATGGTTATATTAAAAATAACACTAGCTGGAAGTTAGAACTAACATGAAATCAGGAACGAGAGCCCCTAGAACTAACATGGTTCAACTAGAACTAATGTACTACTAGATCTAATGCTTATATTAGAAATGACACTAGCTAGAACTAGAACTAACATGAAATCAGCTAAAACTAACACGAGAACCGATAGAACTAACAATGGCTTAACTAGAACTAACATACCACTAGAACTAACACTTATATTAGAAATAACACTAGCTGGAAGTTAGAACTAACATGATATTAGATAGAACTAATAGGGGCTCAACTAGAACTAACATACCACTAGAACTAACGTTTATATTAGAAATAACACTAGCTGGAAGTAGAACTAACACGCATAATTCTTTTCTATTATTGTTTGATGTTTTTGCCTTGCGATCTTATTCCCAGTTAGCGTTTCGGCCACGTCCACAACAAATTAAAGAAAGAACTGATAATAAAATAGCAATAACAACGATAAAAGAGGAGATGAATTCACCTCACTTTTCATTTATAATTTTCGAAAACAATTACAAAAAAATGTTTAAAAAAATTCATGACAAAACTATTAATAAAAATTTAAGGTAACAAATTAAAACCCAATGTGCTTGATGCACGGCGGGTCCAAGCCAATCAAGCTTTTAATTAACAACCTAGCTAGCGATTTGATTAAACTAAATAGCTCTTGACGAAGCCGTCGATAAACTTGGCCCCGACGTCCCTCGGCCAGGTGACGTCCCCCAGCCAGTTCTCGATCAAGAAGAGGGACGCCTCCTTGTTGACGGGCTCGTGCTTTTTGACCCACTCGGCCCTGGGCCTGGGATCGCCGTTTGGCCCCTTGTTGTTGTACTCGATGTAGTAGCAAGTCTGGTGGAAGTCGGCCCTGTCCCAGTAAGCCCAGCCCTCAAGCCTGATCACGTCCCCGATCTCCGACTCCATGACCATCATCCTCGCCTTCGCCTTCCTTGGCCTCCCTAGAGCCTGATCATTTTTAATGGCCATGGCGGAAGTAAGAGAGAAGAAGAAGTTGAGAGATAGAGGGGTGTGAGAGAGATATGTGATTAATGATGGAGAAATTGAGAATAAATAGGGAGGGGCGCAGTAACTGAGTTCAGTCCCATCAAAGGGGCAAGTTCGTAACTTCCATTGGGCTTTTTTTGAAATCCGATACTTTGGGAACTCGTCACAAATACTCAAATACTGTGTGTATTTGGGGCTTATCCACATGGGGTAGAATACAAAGGGCATCGTCACATGAAGTTTCTACTTTTGGGGCCTCGACACAAATTTTCTTCATTTTTATAATTTTTTGTATTTATAATTTATGTAATTTCAAGTGATTAATAATATTATTGTTTTTTATTAAAATTTTATGTAATTTTTTTTGTGTATAATTAAAAATTTAAAGAGATTAATTTTTTTAAAAAAACAAAAAAAAGGCCCGGGCTCCGGTTTTGCCTGACCCGGACTCGATTTTCCGAGCTGGGCCGGATCGGGCCGGACCGGATGGACAACCCTAGATATACTTTGAAAGATCATTGAT